GCAGCATGGAAGAGAGTTGGGTCTCTGTTTTCCTGCCCTCCTGTCACTGTGTGGAGAGGGCTGGGTCCTTTGCTTGTCCAGCAAGACAGCACTGCTGGACAAGCTGTGGTCACCACAGCAGACCCATCTATCTGTTCCCCTTTTTCATGGGGAAGTGAATGAGGGAGGAGATAACAAAGGGTTTCCTGGGCATTTTCTGCTGTGTGCTGACAAGAAGAGACAGAATGACTAAAGATGTGTGAGCGTCTCTGGAGAAGGCCTGAGGCAAAGGCGTGTGTGTCTTTACTTGGCTATTTTGGCACCATCTTCAGATGTAGGTTACGTCAGGCATCTCTGCCATGGGCTTTTGCCAGTGCTGGGGACGTGTTCCTGCAACTCTGCCCTTGTGGCTGTGGGCTTGAAGCCCCCTCTCCAGCTCCATGGTCCTGAACTGCCATGGGAGAGCAAGCACAGAGCCAGGTGTGCAGGACCACAGCTCGTCCTCCCTAGCCCTCCACGTCCCTGTGTGCTGCTCCCTGCTCACTGCAGGGCTCTCTTTGCAGGCTCCCGTAAGCTGGAGTACAATGGACAGACCTGGCATGAGCATTGCTTCATCTGCAGCAGCTGCCAGCAGCCCATTGGGTCACGGTCCTTCATCCCAGACAAGAAGGATTATTACTGTGTCCCCTGCTACGAGAGCAAGTTCGCTCCTCGCTGCACTCGATGCAAAAAGGTACGTGTGGCCTGACAGCCCAGAGCTCCCAGCTCTGATGCAGGGACAGGGAACTCCCTGCTCTGCCTGAGCTCTATCAGAGGGAGATTCAGGTGCCATCACCCCGGCTGGGCTGTTTCCCTTTGCCTGTGTGTCACCAGCACGTGCTCTGTTCCTGCAGACCCTCACCAAGGGAGGAGTGACCTACCGGGATGAGCCGTGGCACAAGGAGTGCTTTGTCTGCACGGGCTGCAAGACGCCCTTGGCTGGGCAGCAGTTCACCTCCCAGGATGACAACCCGTACTGCATCAAGTGTTTTGGGAACCTCTATGCCAAGAAGTGCAGCGCCTGCACAAAGCCCATCACAGGTGAGCAGGACAGCTCTCTGAGGAGCCCTGTGATGCAGTGGTCCTGGGGCTACTTCTGTCCCTTTGTCTGCGTCTCTCACAGTGCTGAACTGTGTCCTGTGGGAGGAATTCCCTCTACCCACAGGTAAAGGCTACAGAGTGACCCCCCCCAAGCATGATCTCATGTCTCTAGCTTGAGTTTTTTGATACTGATTGTCATGTCCTGTGAAAAGGTTGTTCACAGACAGGGAAAACCTCCAGCAGCACCTGGTGCAGGGGGGTCTGGACCTGCTGTACCTGCCTAAGGCAAGGAAAGTAAAGGATCCTCTTCTGCAGAGCCTCCTAAGGTTCTGGCTTCCTTCCTACCCCCACAACATGACCTTCCCCCTTGCAACTCCCAGGTTCTTGCTGCTGGGAAGGCAGGAGAAGCTGTGAATCAGTCGGTGACTCAGAGGATGATTCTGGCTGCTCCCAGGCACCCGCTTCCCCTCTGGTCCTTATGAATTTGTTGCAGCCCTGGGGAGAAGAGGGTCACAGCTCACCAGTCCAAAAACTGCCAGCAGAGAAAGGAAGCTCCTGTGGAGCCTCTGCAGGAGCCTGGGCCTGAGCTGCTGGCTCTTCCCAATAGTTCTGTCTGACTTCATCCACTGTGATGGTGCAGCTGCTGTCCCAGCTCCTCCTAGGGGAGAAAATTGTGATTCTGATCCAAATATGTCAACCCTGCAAAGTCTGCTCTGAAGCAATTTTAGTGCTTTTCCCCCACCAGAGTGGAGATTCACATTTCAGATCTATTTGATCCTGGGGTGTGCTTTTGGTGCCACCACCAGTGCCATGTGTGAAGACCTGACATGGAGATGAGCAGGCCAGGGCTCGGTCTGTTCAGAAAGCTCATCCCAGTTTCCCCAGAGACTCTGACGTTGCCCTCTGTCCCTCCCACAGGTTTTGGTGGTGGCAAATACGTCTCCTTTGAGGACCGTCACTGGCACCACAACTGCTTCAACTGTGCCCGCTGCAGCACTTCGCTGGTGGGGAAGGGCTTCATCCCCGACAACGACGAGATCCTGTGCCGCGACTGCAGCAGCGACCTATGAGCCCCGAGGGCACGGCGGGGCAGGGCCTCCCTCTGTTCTCCAGGGCCTTGGTGCCAGGCTCCCCGCAGCACTGCAGGGGCAGAGCACGAGGCACAGGAGATGGGGGCTGACCTCCTGTGCCCCCTCCCCGAAGGCTAGAGTGCGCTGTGCTGTGGCTCTGTGCAGTCAAAGCTAAATAAAGCTGAAAAAGGAGCTTCAAGACCCCCCATTATTTACTCTTTCTTTTCGCTTCCAGTCTAACCCGGCACGAGCCCAGGCCCCCCAGCTGGGCAAAGGGCAGGAGTGGCTTTGGCACTGTGCTGCTGGATCTGCATGCTGGCAAGCATGTATTCACCCCTTGGCACTGACTTCTGTTCTTCCTCCATGTGCTTCCCTCGCTCTAGGTGACACAAGGCAGTGTCTCGGGCCATGCAGCTTGGCCGTGCTGGCCTTGTCACAGCTGGCTTTGCACAGCCTTCCCATATGCACAGCTGGCTCAGCCATGAAGGGCACTGTCTTCTGTTCTGGAGGTTTGGGGACACCAGGCTGGAGCGTGGCCAGGAGAAGAGCATGCATCCTGTCAGTTGGAATCCACCTCTGGAGTTCTGTAGCACGTCATTGTTTGCAGGCCAGACCCTTTGCTCAGCACCTCCATGGCAGTGCTTGCTTAGCTGTAATGAGGAGTTCACGTCACTTGTATGTACGGGGCATTCAGCCCACCCACACTACCCCATTGCTGTCCACCTGTGCTGTGACGTCCCGTGGCTGAGCTGGAGCTGGGAGTGCTGCCCTGCTGGTGCTCAGGTGCATCTGGCTGAGCCCTAGAGAAGGGCTTGCTGAAGGCTGAGGCTCAGGGCTGTATTCCTTCTCCATCCCTCTCATGAGGAACCATGAGACAGGCACTGCTGTCAGAGCCCAGCTGCCAGCAGCCCTGGGAACACCAGAGGTAATTAATTCAGGGAAGGATAATTGCCCACAGACTGTGCCTGTGATTAGTAGCTGCTGGGAGGGTCTGCAGAGCACAGGGCTGCAGCACAGAGAGCAGCTGAGGGGGAAGCAGGATGTCCACAGCCTGCTCCTCCAGGACTACCTGTGTCCCCCGTGGTAGGGACACCTTCCAGCCACACTCATCCTTCCTTGCATCCCAAACAAGAAGAAAAGCAAAGCTTGCACCTGGGGGTGGGGCGGGAATGACTTTGCATTGCCCAGGTCCCAGTTGGCCCTAACTGCAAAACAGGGTGTCTTGAGCCATCCCAGCCTCACATGAGGCCTTGAGCAATCCTTGCCCCATGGCTGAGCTGGCCCTGGGCTAAGGCCTCTCCCAGTGGGATGTCTGCCTTGTCTCTAAATCCTTCTGCTTCTGTCTCGCTGGGACACTTTTGCCAACCCTGCTTTTCTGCTTAGTCAGCCACATGCTTTTCTGAAAACCTGTTCTTGTGGGGTTTTTTTTCCCTTTTGTACTCATCTTTCATGAATATCCATCATTTTGTACACAACTACAGGATTAAGGGGCTAGCCCCCCACCCGGGCTTCACTTAGGAACAGAAAATGTTATGCATGTTGAAGTGTTATTACTCTGTGTTCAGATCCTTCTTAAATCCTTGTTTGGAAGCTTTGATGACAGCAAATCAGAGTTTGTGTGTTTGCTATTATGAGAGGAGCTTGGAGCCGTCTCCAGAAGGAATTGTCCTAAACCTCAGCGTCCTCTGTATTTCCTACAGCTTTATACAATAAACCGTTTTCGTGACACTTTCTCTTCTGTGTCTCTTGAACAGCAGGCGCAGGGCAGAATGCTGAGTGGGTGCTGGGCTCTGCTCAGCCTTGCCTCACCCCGATCCCATTCTGGGGACAGGCAACCTCTGCAGTGCTTGTGGCTGCCTGCCCAAACCACAGCCCACCATCAGCCGTGCTGGCAGCAGCATCTCCCTCCTGTGCTGCGTGGCTGCAGTGGGTTCCAGGGGCTGGGGGTGTCCATCTGTCCGTGCTTGCTGTCTGTACAGGCAGGGCTGCTGCTGTGTGCTCGCAGGCTGGTGGGATGGCTGTGATACCAAACCAGCCCTGCTGTGCAGAGCAGCCTCCTGCCCTGCAGTGTGCACTGCCTGCCCACACCACAGCATTCCAAGGGGCATTCCAAGGGGACTCCTCGGGTAGCTGCAGCTTCCAGCAGGATATCCATGGTCCCTCTTGGCAGCCTTCCCTGAAGTGCTGCATGCTCTCTACTCATGTTTATCAGCAAGGGAGCCATGTATTCCCTAACATACGAAACTATTTTCCACAGATCCTTTACATTTACCAACAGCTGCTGTGACTTGCTCTGGACTCGCCTGCTCCAGCCTTCCCAGCAGAGTGGCTGGGCTCCTGTGGGTGCTGCTGCAGTGGCAGGCTGGGCACAGCCCACGGTGCCTCTGCAGGACCATGGCACTGGTGTGTGCACATTCCTGCCTGCTTCAAAGGCTCGGCTCTGCTGGCTGATGGAATTTAGCACAATTCTTGTTGCTGTTGCTGCCCTGTGATCTGGGCTGGGTTCTGGTGCTGTGCTGGGCCTTGGAGGGTGAGTGAGCAGCTCCAGCCCAGAGGTTCCCAGCTGAGCCTGTCCTCCAGCAGCAGCAGCTCCAGCCGGGCTTTCTGCAGTGCTGTTTCCAGGGATTAACCGCAGAAGGTTTCTATACAAGGGGCCCCCAGGCTCCTCTTTCAGTCAGCCTCCAGAGCCTCACGTTTTTAGCCAAAAAAGGAAATGACCCAGCTGCACGTAGCACTGAAACATCTGGATTTTATCCCTGTCATGAATGGGTCATGGCTGTACATGGCCCAGTGCCTGATTTACAGGAGGGGGAGGGTGATGTCATGCACAAACATCCCCCGAGACTCTGGAGTGTGGGTCTGAAACAGTCATGGAAATTTTATTAAGCACAAGCAGCAGTGTGAGGGGGGTCAGGCCAGGGCTGTTGTGCCGGTGAGGTGGGATTGGGGAAGCTGCTGAGGACATGGGGCAGCACTGCAGGGGTAGAAAGAGACCCTGGTACTGACCAAATCTGCCCCAGCTGTGCCCTCCTGCACCACTGTGGATCAGGGATGGTGTTTGCAGCCCCAATGGGCAGTGCCAGGTTCAAGCCACTGCCTGGGGAGTCCTGTGCAGGGGCCAGGAGTTGGACTTTGATGATCTTCATGGGCTCAGGATATTCTGTGATTCTCTGCATTTCAGCTCCCAGTCCCTGAAATGAAATGGCATCTCTTCATCCAGCTTTCTCCCAATTCCTCCCATGTGCACTGCCATCTGTGGGCTGAGGAGGAGGGTGGTCATGCAAGGGCTGGTCTTGTCCCACCTTGATCCTCCTGATGCCATCAGCCCAAAATAAGGAGGCCATGTGGCTGGAGAGGGCACTGCTGGATTTCAACTTCTTCCCTTTCCAGAGTGAAGTTTCATGCAATGAGAAACGGAAGAACACTAAGCTCAGAATCATATCTCTGTTTTTATTTTTAGGCAGGCATTCATGAAGAAAAGTGATGTATTTTGGGGCAGCCTATAATGCAAGGGAGTAATTAAAGACAGTATTCTTACCTGCAGCATCATTCTATACTCATTGAAGGATCATCTTTGTCTGCCATTAATTAAGACAATTTTTTTCCTTGCTTTTGGCTGAGAGTAGTTTATCCCGCATGGCAGAAAAATACGAATAATTTATTCATATACAGCAAGTCAAAATATAATCTGCATTTGGCAGTGTTGGGGCAAGGCACCCTTGGATTTAGGGTAGATCTGAAGAAGGCAGTTGAAATCTAAATGGGGTGTCTGTGGGAGGACTCGATCGTGTGGCTGAAAGCAAAGTCTGCGCTGCCGGGCACCGAGGCACCGGGCACCGAGGCACCGGGCACCGAGACACCGGGCACCGAGACACCGGGCACCGAGGCACCGGCCCTGGGGAGCCAGCACGGCACGGCCCGGCCGGGCACCGGACAGCGCTGCTGCGGCCGGGCAACCCCGGGAGGCTCCAGGCTGGGGCAGCCCCAAATCCAAACCAGCACCTCGGGCCACTCGGTGCCAGCAAGCACCGCGCTCGGACACCGTGCTCGGACACCGCTGTCGGCCCCGGGCCCGCTCTCAGACACGGCCCCGGCCCCGCTGTCGGCCCCGGCCCCGGCCCCTTAGCCGCCTCCTGCCGGCCGCCCCGCGGCTCCGCGCAGTGCTCCGGAACCGGAACGTTCCCCACACACACACCGGGGCCTTCCCGGGGCCTTCCGGCGGCGCTGCGAGCCGAGCGCGGGATGGAGACGATCCTGGAGCAGCAGCGGCGCTACCATGAGGAGCGGGAGCGGCTGATGGACGTGATGGTGAAGGAGATGCTCACCAAGAAGTCCACGGTGCGCCCGGGGCCCTTCGGGGGGTGCGGGAGGCTCCGGGCGGGCCGCGCTCACCGCTCTGCTCTGCCCGCAGCTCCGCGACCAGATCAACTCGGACCACCGCACCCGGGCCATGCAGGACGTGAGTGCTGCGGGCGGGAGCGGGGCCGGGCCGGGCCGGGCCGGGCCGGGCGGGCTCCCCGGGGCCAGCGGGGCCCGGCCCGGGAACGGGCTCGGGAACGGGCTCGGTAACGGGCTCGGTAACGGGCTCGGCGGCGCTCGGGCCGCTCCTTTGTTCCGCAGAGGTACATGGAAGTGAGCGGCAACCTGCGGGACCTGTACGACGACAAGGACGGGTGAGTGTGCCCGGGGCCGTGCTGTGCCGGAGCGTGCCGGGCTGCTGGATTCGGTGTGAGTGTCTGAAGAGTCACACGCGAATGCAGAGGCGGCGGCCGAGTGCAGTGCACACGGGAGCATCCGTGTAGGATGGGCAGGTTTTGTTGTGTTGTGGCGTGGGGAGGCCCTGCCTGCTCCGGAGGTTTGTCAGGGGCTGCAGACTGTGTGGGGATGTGACCACGAGAGCCCGGTGGGCTGGGAGGTCCCCATGACTCGAAGGTTTGCAGTCAGACACTGCAGCACAGCCCTGGAATAAGGTTGTGTCAGTGTCTGCCTTCCCTTGCCTTCCCTTGCCTTCCTTTGCCTTCCTTTCCTTCTTCCCTCCCTTTCCCTCCCTTCCCTATTCCCTTCCCTTTCCCTTCCCTTCCCTATTCCTTTCCCTTCCTTTCCTTATTCCCTTCCCTTCCTAATCTCTTGCTGTCGGTGAACTCACAGCCTGCGTAAGGAAGAACTCAGTGCCATTTCCGGGCCAAATGAATTTGCAGAGTTTTACAACAGACTGAAGCAAATTAAGGAGTTTCACCGGAAGCACCCAAATGAGGTGAGTAGTTACCTGGTCCATTGGAAGAGGTGTGCTGTGCTCTGTTGAGTCTCATCCCTACAGGAAGCAGAGGTTTTGTTTCCCCAGTTTTATCGCTTTAACACACAAGTACTGAGAACACACAGCACAGATGCTCAGGGTCAGGCAGCATGTGAGGGAGCAGTGCAGGATGCTCACCCTGTTCCCTGCTAGAACAGGGATGTTCAGCTGAGCTGGGATCAGATCTCACCTTTCTCGTGCTGGCTAAAGCCACACTTTTGCCTTTGTGCAGAAAGAAAGGTGACAAAGCTTTGAGTCTCTTTTCTGTTTGCAATTTCATTATTTGCCACCTTGCATGATTTTATATTAGTTATTCTGGGACAGGAGCTGAAGTAAATCGCTCTGTGCCTTGTATCTGCCTGTGCAGATCTGTGTTCCCATGTCAGTGGAGTTTGAGGAGCTGCTGAAGGCCAAAGACAACCCGAGTGAAGAAGCTCAGAGTAAGTTTGTAGTTTGCTTGAGCTCTGGCATTATTTAATATGTTGTTTGATCTGATTTGCATGTTTCAGGGCCTCACCTCCCTTTTACTAAAAGACTTCTGAAAATTCTCCTGTCATCTAAATGCTTCTAAACTGCAGTCCCTGGAATGGTCCCCAGTGAGGCTGCTGTTCCTGAGGAATGTTCTGGGGCTTGCACAGAGCAGCAGTTGGGGCTGCTCAATGAGTGTCAGAGACATTAAGCACCTTCCTTAAGCTTACATGACTCCGCAGCTGATCCTTTTCCAGTTCAAAAACAGTTGTATAATAAGTAGGGAATATTATGCTCATATGAAAGCTTTTCATGATCTTTCCTACAGATCTGGTGGAGTTCACAGATGAGGAAGGGTATGGCCGATACTTGGATTTGCATGATTGTTATCTCAAGTACATTAACCTGAAATCATCAGAGGTGAGTGGCTGCTGTGTGTGGGCCCAGGGATCTCCAGGCCCTACACAGGCTGGGGCTTTTCTTTTCTAAGAACTGGTTGTTAATTTGGCCTTGTATGAACTCTGACTCAGACTTTCTGTTCTTAGAAATTGGATTATATCACTTACTTATCCACATTTGACCAGCTCTTCGATATTCCCAAGGAGAGAAAAAATGCTGAATATAAGAGGTGAGCCTGTTTGCCTGCCTGCTTCCTTTTTGGTGAGAAGGAATTTGCTTCTGAAGTGTCCAGCTGCAGAGATTATAATTAACAGCCAAACTTAACTCACATAAATTGGGTCCCTGAGCTCAGTCATGTGTCTGAGCCCCAATCAAACTTGCAGTGCAGCAGATATGTGGAGAGCCACATTCAGCTCGGAGGAAGAGCTTTAATGTACCCTTGGAACTGTTATGTCAAAAAAATCTTGTGTGGAAAACTGGCCAGGCTTTGTCCATGTCCCTCTGGGGCACTGGAGGGTAGTGACTGTCCAAAGATGTGGTTAGAGGGTGACAGTGAATTACCTCTGCTCATGATTCCCCTGTATTCCAGGTATCTTGAAATGCTCCTTGAGTACCTGCAGGATTACACAGATCGAGTGAAGCCGTTACTGGACCAGAATGAACTTTTTGGGAAAATTCAGACGGAATTTGAGAAGAAGTGGGAGAATGGCACGTTCCCGGGCTGGCCGGTGAGCAGCCTGAGCCTGGGTGATGTTCCTGTGTTTGGGAGGGCTTTGTGTGAGTCCTTTGTGTGAAGTCATTGCTGGAGGTGACCATGACAGTGAGGGCTGCAGCTCTGTGTCACCAGGGTGCAGGGTGATACTGACCTGAATTTAAAACCCAGCATAACTAGTTTAAAATGAGCATTGTTTCAGGTTGGCTTATTTTGCATCTTTACTACTGCTCCATTTTCAGTTTAGTAAGAGGATTTTTCTCTGTGAAATGAACTTCTTTTCTTAAGATTAAAATGTTCTATGCCCAGAAATGTTGTAGTATGCCATGCAGCTCTTGCATGTGTTTTTTTTTGGCAGAAAGAGACCAGCAGTGCCCTCACCCATGCTGGTGCCCACCTGGACCTCTCGGCCTTCTCCTCCTGGGAGGTACGTTTCCAGTGCTCTGCACTTACTGTCACATTTTGAGCAGGTGGAAGTTCAGTCATTTGGGTTTTTTGTGTAGTTTTAGTGCTGTGTTTTTGTCCCTGGCTCTGTGCTTTCTGGGTAAAACTTTGATGGTGCTGATGATGTAATTTCTACCACTGGGGGATGTAACTTGAAGATTTGTCACATTCCTCATTTTCCTGGGAGCAGGGGTACACTGTTGACAGTCCTTTCTTAAATACTGTTCATCAGTGTTTTTTCTTCATTAATAAGCTAAAGTGGGCTATATCCATATTGTATGTGTTGAACAGCTTGTCTCTTACAGTGGTTTATTTAATTGAACAGGAATTGGCCTCCCTGGGACTGGACAGGTTAAAATCAGCTTTGCTGGCTCTGGGGCTGAAGTGTGGCGGGTAAGGTGCAGTTTTGGACCTTTCAGTTTCTGAGGTGTTCCTGTATCACATTTCTTTCTGGGATACTTTTGTGGTTATCTCTGTTGTACTAGAATTACCTTAGAGATGTTTGAAAGATAAAACATTAAGAACCAAGCAGTGGGATCTGCTGCTCTGAACTGTCCTGTACAGGAATCTCTGGTAGAGTAGACTTTGACTTGAGGAATGAAGGCAAAGGTAGAAGGAATCTCATGGTTTCCTAAAAGCTACATTTAGATTTTTATTGCATGAATTCAGGTAGTTCTCAGGGAATGTAAAACTGCAGTCTAGACTAATCCCTTCCCTGCTTCTCTGCAGGACTCTGGAGGAGCGTGCTCAGAGGCTTTTCAGCACTAAAGGCAAATCCCTGGAAGCACTTGATCCTTCCTTGTTTGCTAAGAATCCAAAGACAAAAGGAAGCAAAAGGTGAGTTCTTAGAGGTCATTCTGAGGCTGGCAATGGTCTCAGAGCTGAACTTGTGTGTTTAATGAGGATACCTCATCTGTTTCAGAGACACTGAAAGAAATAAAGATCTTGCATTCCTGGAAGCTCAGATTTATGAGTATGTGGAAGTTCTTGGGGTAAGAATTTTATTTTGTTTTTAAGCTTTTGATTTCAGAGCTGTCTAGTGACTGGAATGTTGTCCTTACTTTTACATTGTGCTTTCATAGACAGCATCACGTCAGCGTGCTGCACCACATCTGTTTTGTGCATAAGTCATACAGTACTGCAAACCTTTATTGATCTGCCTTGCTCCTTGCCTTCAGTTTTGGGGGGTTGTTTTCAGGGGGATGGATGCTGCTGTAGTAACATTGGAAATGCTGATAGGTGATAAAAGGTTTTATTCTTTGCTGGTAGGAAATGTCAGGGTACTAAAAACTGAAACTGTTTGGCTCAGTAAGGTGGGAGTTCTCTGCTTCACACTGGTCTTCTATTTCCTCCCTCTGTACACTGAGGAGGTTTTTTGCTACAGGAGTTTGGCCTGTTTGCTGTCATGGTGTGTGGACAGTCCCTTCTTTTCTCTCCCTCCAGGAACAAAGACACCTCACCCACGAGAACGTGCAGCGCAAGCAGGCGCGGACAGGGGAGGAGAGAGAGGAGGAGGAGGAAGAGCAGATCAGTGAGAGCGAGAGTGAAGATGAAGAAAATGAGATCATTTATAATCCTAAAAATCTCCCTCTTGGCTGGGATGGGAAGGTAAGAGACTATCAGGCCTGGAGAAGTGGGACAGGACACTGACTCCACGCTGCTTCTGTGTTTGAGTTTCTTTGCCGTGACCTAATCCTCCTGTCTCCTTGCTCCAGCCCATCCCATACTGGTTGTATAAACTCCATGGTCTGAACATCAACTACAACTGTGAGATTTGTGGTAACTACACCTACCGAGGGCCCAAGGCATTCCAGAGGCACTTTGCAGTAAGTGACATTCACTGCAGGAGCAGCCCTACAATTCACTCATTGTAATGAGTCCCTGGGGTCCCTGAGCAGCATTTTTGCCATGTGGGTCTGAGCTTTTGCTGTAAGGCCATGCAACAGGACCCACAGATAATATTAGGCATACAGAAATCTCTTTTGCTACCATCCCTGCCCATTTGAACACCCATTCCAGTGCTCACTTCTGATGGGTGCAGCATGGCTTTTGATGGCTGGCGTGGTGTTACTGTCTGCAGGACAAGAAAGTAATGTTTTTATAGAGGACTGGTAGATTTGTACTGTGATAGCAGGTTTTGCACCCTGTTCAGATGTGAATGTCTTGTGGTGTTCCCTCTCACACTGATCTCATCACTTTCCCCCAGGAGTGGAGACATGCCCACGGAATGCGGTGCCTGGGCATTCCCAACACGGCACACTTTGCCAATGTCACACAGATTGAGGATGCAGTCTCGTGTAAGTAGTGATGGCAGAGCAGGGAACATGTGAAAGAACACACCTTTTCTGAAGGAGTGGCTTTGGACCTTGGTCTCGTGTCCCATCCTGAACACTCCGTTTAAAGCCTTGTTTGCTGCAGTTCAGTGCCTCTCAGTGAGCACATGGTGGAATGATAACTTTGTAATGGATGTTAGATACATTCCTGGATTTAAAAGGGAGAGGGAAAAGTTGATGTGTGTACTTTCCTAGATTAAAAACCAGTATCTTGAGAGAAGTGGCATAGATCCTGTTTAACTTTGTGTTTGCAGTGTGGGCAAAGCTGAAACAGCAGAAGGCTTCAGAGAGGTGGCAGCCCGATACAGAGGTGAGTAGTGAGAGGCATTCAGTGTCTCCCCTCCTGTGTCCCTGGGAACCCCTTGTTCCTGGTGTGAGCAGTGTCCTCACTTACACTGGTGCCTCTTCTGTTCCAAAGCCATTTTTTTCAGCAGGGTGCAAGGCAAAAGTGGGAAGTAAAATCTGTAGTACAGCCTGTAATGACTCTGGCCCTGGCTGAGCTCTTCTCCCAGGACCTGCTGGCAGATCCACTGCCTGCCTTCCTGCACAGAAATTCTGGCAGGGTGCTCATGTTCAGTGTCTGCTCTTGGAGCTAACATTTGAGTGCTGTCTCTAAACTGTGGTTCTGTTCCAGGAGGAATATGAGGATTCCAGTGGGAACGTGGTGAATAAAAAGACCTACGAAGACCTGAAGCGCCAAGGGCTGCTGTAGCTGTCCCCAGGTGAAGGATCCCACATCTATAGAGAGAGTGGGTCTGGCAGCAGCTTTGACTTCTTCATTGTCTGGATTTTGTATGTGCATGAATATAGATTTCAAGAATACTTTATAGAGTCACTTTCTAGTAAGCCACTTAGAGTTGTGACATTGTTTTATATCAAAAAAATACCTTGAGAAATAAAGTCATTGTAATTTAGGAAGTGCTGAGAGACTTGTCTTCTTTTGTATGCTGGAAGGAAGAGTTTTGATACAGTGTGTTTAAAGTGCTTTTTACACAGCTGTCAGAAACAATTCCTTCTCTCGTTTCCACTCTGCTGGAAATGTTTATGATGAGGGTTGACTCTGAAGCACATGGACACTGCACTGACAGGTGCTGGTCCTGTTTCTAGATCTTGGTGTGAACTTGTGGTTTTCTTTAAAAAACAAGGCTTACAGAACTGTTTTTATCTTGGATCTGTCTCCCAAGGGGAGCTTTGGCCATTGTTTTTATCAGAGAACTACCAGTTGAGCTTCAGGTTTTGCTCTGGGGTGATTTCTGTGGCACTGCTGTTGGCTTGAATGAGCTGGTAGGTCATTTGTGTGCAGATCCATCTGTGGTGCAGGAGGGTGGGGATGGGAACAGAGACTGTTTAGAGGTGCCTGTTGTGGCCTCAGGAGCATCCTTGGCCCCTTTTATCACACTTGGAGGTGTCTGTACACACCCCATGGATTCATGATGCCTCAAGAATGTGCAGGGGCCACTCACACCATATGTGGCAGTGGCAGTTGTTGTGTCCCCATTCCCCTGAGTGCAGAGGTGGCTTGTGTGACATGTCCAGCCTCACAAGCCCTCTCCCCACTGCTGTACAGGGCTGTTTGTGTCTGTGCTGCTGTGGAGCTGCATGTGACACTTCCCCAGGGCTGGCTGGCAGGGGTGGGGCTGGCTGTGGGGCAGTGCCACAGGAGCTGCTCAGAGGTGTTCCAGGCTGGCAGTGACTGCAGGTGTGCTGGGGCTGCAGGAACAGGCAGACAGGTGAGTCGGTGCTGTGGGCTCTTTCCCTGCCTGGGGGGAGGTTCTTCTGGGATGGGGAAGATGGTTCCTCTGCCCTGGGGTTGGGCTGGCCTGGTCTGGGCTCAGTAAGGATGTCCAGAGCTGTTCTGGGTGGTGGCTGGGCTGGTTTGCAGGGTGAGGTGCCAGCTGGCTCTGTCTTTCTGTCACTCAGGGAATGGCCTTGGAGGTCTCTGGATGAGCTTCAGCCCCTCCAGGTCCTGGGGGAATGGTGACTCAGCCTAAATCATAAAACAGGAGGGGAGTATGACCGTTCTCCTTGGAGAATTTGGCTTCGGAGCCTGTTTGGAGTCACATCTCCACCATTTCCTTAGCAAAACAGGAAAACATTTGGAATGCAAATAGAGGATGTAGAGCCAGGTCACATCTTCACTTGCAGCATGGTGGCACTTTTGACTGTGTCACGCTGACCCCTGCTCGTGGCAGTGCCTGCAGGGCTGTGCTGCCTGAGAGCTCCAGGGAGGGCTGTTGCCACACCAACAGCTCACACAGCTCCCCGGGGCTCCCGGTGCCCGTCAGCAGCCACGGCAGCCCCGGTGGATGTGGGGAATCCCAGGAGGAGGTGCCTGGTTGTGCCAGGGCTGAGGAAGAGCACAGAGCTGTAGTGGGGTGTCCCCCCTGCCCCTCGGGCAGCAGCTCTGACCCCTCTCCCTCTGCCAGGTCCGGCTGCAGCTGCTGGTGGTGAGGATGGCTGGACAGCGATGGCCCGTGCCCCCTGCTCGAGGTAATGCAGCACAGAGAGCAGTGCCTGTCTGTCTGTCTGTCTGTCCGTCCCCATCCCTGTCGGAATCTGAGGTATTGATGATTCTGAGATTGTAGAAAGTCTCTGTCTGTCTGCCCCACTGCCAAAACAGAAGCCATAATTGGTCTGTGCTGGTTTCAAGGTTGTTTATTCTGTTTATCTCTAACATGTTCTGCTGCCCTGCCGCAGCTCTGTCCTGCAGGGCAGCGTGTGGGGCTCTGCCCTCAGTGGGATGGTACAAACATTAAATACCAGAAACTACCTGTGCTGGATTTACAATAACGTGCCAATATCTGTCACCTACATTGGACAGTGTGTCCCCAGCCTAAACCAACAGAAAAATGCCAACAGCACAGTGAAACATGGAGGGCATGAAGAAGGAGAAAAAGGACAAGGCACACCCAATTCCTCCATCTTGTCCCCTTTGAACCCCTAATCTAGAATCCTAAAATTTTACTTTTGCACCCGTGCCACACTTAATTATTGCTTATATCAAACACTCAGAGCTTATAATTCACCCTGTAAGATTGAAAACTCTTTTCCATGGACAGAGATCACAGCCAGTGTCTCTGGGGGCTCTGTCCAGGGGGGTTCCTGACCCCTGCCAGGGTCCCAGACCTGCCAGGGCAGCCAGAGGGAAGCCCTGGACTCCGGCACATCCCGGGTCCATCTCTGCTCCGGCTGTTGGGGGCTGTGCCAGAGGCCTCCCTGGGGCGAGGGGTGGCTGCTGTCACCTGGGGCTCTGGGGAGGTGGAGGAGGATCAATGCTTTTCTGTTTCAAGGATGAGCTGCCTGTGCTGCTGGGGGCTCTCTGGGCTGTGGGTAAAGCAGACAGCAGGTGTGGTGTTCTCAGTCATTCCCACTCCATTCCAGGCTTGCTGCTCTGCATCTTGGCTCTGCTGCTCTGTCTTCAGGACTCCCTTGCCACAGCAGGTGAGTTCTGCATGCCAAAGGGAAATCTGGGGGCCTGTGGGGAGTGGGGCAAAGGCAGGGTGGTGCACCAGGGACTTTGTCCTGTCCTCTCCAGGCTGTGCTCTGCAGGACAGAGCTGCAGGACACCTGAGGAACATTTCCTCATGGTTTAGCCCCCATAAAAGCCTCTTCTTCCCAGGCAATATGGCTGGAAGTGGGAGGGAGAGGCCCTTGTGACATCTGCCCACAGTGCTGCTGTGGTGGGCTGCTGGCTCTGACCTGCTCCTTGGGCTGCCCAACTGGTGGCTGCGAGTGGACCCTGTTGGGGACATCCTGTCACCCACAGCCATTTCACCTCCCAGCCACAGTGTGACAGATGCTTCCCACAGGTCCCTCTGGACCGTGCCATGGCTCGGGAAGGGACATAGGGCTTCCTGAGCATGTTTTCCCTCAGTGTTTCCTTCACCAAGCAGGAGCTTTTTGTTTTCCAGCGCACAGCACAGCTGCCAATACCATGGGGATGGCCACCAAGGACACCTCAGCAGCCACCAAGAAAGCCTCGGCAGGGGTGGTGACCACCAAGAAGGCCTCATTGGTGGCTGTGACCACCAAGAACACTTCAGTGGCCACCCAGAATCCCGCAGTGGTGGCGGTCACCAAGAATACCATGGTAGTGGCCACCACCAAGAATGCTGCAGTGGTGACCGCTTCCAGCACCTCTGTGGCCTCCAGGAACACACTGGCAACCACCAAGAACACCTCAGTGGTAGTCAAGACCACCAAGAATACGCTGGCAACCACCAAGAACACCTCAGTGGTGACCGTGGCCACCAAGAACACCTCGGCAGCCACCAAGAATGCCATGGTGGTGGTGACTACCAAGGAGGCCTCAACGGCCACCAAGAATGCGTCGACAACCACCAAGAACACCTCGCCAGCCACCAAGAATACCTTGGCAGCCACCAAGAATGCCATGGTAGTGGCCACCACCAAGAATGCTGCAGTGGTGGCCACTGCCAGCACCTCTGTGGCCTCCAGGAACACACTGGCAACCACCAAGAACACCTCAGTGGTAGTCAAGACCACCAAGAATACCACCAAGAATACCTCAGTGGTGACCGTGGCCACCAAGAACACCTCGCCAGCTACCAAGAACACCTCGCCAGCCACCAAGAATGCCATGGTGGTGGTGGCAACTACCAAGGAGGCCTCGAGAGCCACCAAGAACACCTCAGTGGTGGTGACCAACAATGCCACGGTGCTGGCTGTCACCAACAATGCCTCTCTGGTGGCCACCAACACCTCCATGGAGGGAGCAGAGGAGACAAGGGTGAGGCAGGGAATGGAAAGAGGGGTGCTGCTGGGCCGGTGCAGCCCTAGGGACAGTGTCACTTGCCCGGCTGGTCGGTCACAGGAGTGCCATGGGAGCATCTCCTGCGGTGGAAGGAGCACAGGGGTGGCCAGGTGGGGGTGGCCCCTGCAGACAGTGAGGCTGTGGTTGGGGACAGCCCTGCAGAGCTGTGTGAGGAGGCTTTGCTGCAGGGTGACACCCTGGTGTCTCTGCAGCAAACCTGCCAGAGCTTTCAGTGCTCCGGAGAGAGGTGCTACCAGGATGGAGCCCATGCCAACGGAACAGCCACCTGCCACAATGAGACTCACTGCGAGGTACGGAGCTGCCAGGGGGCTGCACCAGGGAAAGCCCTCCCTTTCTTTATCCGGGAATCCACAGTGCTCTATTGAGTCTGTCTCCTATCTCCCCTTCTTCTCTGGACAGCCTCTCAGTTATTTATGCTCTTTTATGACCGCACCTCTTCACACTCATTTTGTCCCTTTATCCCTTTATCCCTTATCCAGGCACCTCTTCACACTCACTTTATCCCTTGACTCTGGTTGCAGCTTTATCGTTTCTCCAGCACGAACTACAGCGCGGGATGCAGCAGCGGCTGCAGCGCGGAGCCGTGCAGCGCCAAGGGCAGCAGGCAGCAGCAGTGTGCCCTGGAGTGCTGTGCTGGCCCTCTCTGCCTGCAGCTCAACGCCACTGCCTACGGTATGGCCCAGCTGGTTCTGCTTTGTTCTGCTGGGCACACTCTGGAGGGGCTGAGGCTGCATCTGCCTCTCGTCTGCCCTGGGGCTCGCCCTGTCCTTGGGTCGGGTGAGGAGCAGGGTGGCCCTGGCAGCTCTGAGCAGAGTGTGAGCAGCGCTGGTGAACCTGTGTCCAGCCTCACAGGGCTCCTCGTGTGTCTGCAGGTGACCTGCCACCCACCACCACCACCGCCGTGCTGACAACCACCGCCACCAGCCCTCGGCCTCCCCCCCAGAACGTAGGTACCACAGCAGGAGAGGCTGCTGCACCCAAGGGCTCTGTGGCTGCCGCATGGCTGAGCTCCCACCTGAGCAGGGGACAGCAAAAGCTCCCTCCTCCCTTTGCTCTATGGGGTAAAAAGCTGACTCTGGAAGGGCGACAAATCCTGAATGAGTACTGGATGTAAGAATCCCTGTCCAGTGAGCCTTATCCCTGTCCATCGGAGCTGGCATCAGCTCTGGCAGTTTGACCTGACCATGGGATGGATGAGCCTTCCTGCAGCTGCACGGAGTCTGCAGGACCTCCAGGGCTCTGCAGCCCTTTCCTGAGCCTGGTGGAGGGGAAGGTGCTTATCTTTGCAGAGCCCTCTTAAGAGGAAGGAAAAAGAGGCTTGAAACTTGCTTGCTCTGCTGGTGTTTCAGAAGTTTCTTGCAGTTTCAGAATACTCTTTTATCTCTGGATCTAAAATGCCTGATAGCACAAACACCAGCAGAACAGAGGAAGGTGGAGAGGAGGGAAGGGCTGCCTTAAATGCAGTTTTTGTCCTTCCAGTCTGATGGACAGATGGTATCTCCCTGGTCCTTTCTCTCCTAGGGCAAAGTGTGTGCAGCATTTTCCTGTCACGGGGACCAGTGTTTCAAAGGCAGGAAGACCATCACTAGATGCATTTTGGGACAGGACTTCTGTGAGGTATGGCCTGGGGCTGCAAAGCATCATGTTCCTGTAATGCTAACACTAAAGGCTCGGCATGACCCCCAGGCTAATGTCTCTCTCCTTCCAGATGAAGAAGATGGGCTTGAATTACGTGTCAGGATGTAGCAAAGCCTGCAAGGCTGCCAAACCAGTCTGTGCTGGTGGGATGAAGGCTGCCTGTTACCAGGAGTGCTGCCCAGCCACCCCAAAAGGCAGCTGTCTGAAACTGGATGGCAAAGTTCACATCAATAGCGCTGGGCAGGTGACACTGGCCCCACTCTTGAAGGTCATGGCATGTGGGGTGGTCCTTCTCCTGAATTACAGGGTCTCCACTTCCCTCTGGGGGTAGGTGGCTCTGCAGCCTCTCCTGTAGGATCAGTAGGATCCCTCTGCTCTCTGACTTCAGCCAAGCTTGCTAGCAAACACGCTCTGTGCTGTCCCTGTCCCATCAACAAGGTGTCTGGGGCCCTCTGCATCTGCTCATGGGCAGCTGCACGTCCTTGGGGGTCACTTTGCTTGCCCTGCATAGGACCCTGCTGTTGATCCTAAACCCCCCCTTAAGCTGCACTCTGAACCCTGCACCTTCCCAGGATGGGCGAGTCCTGGCATTTCAGTAAAGTTTAAGTACTTGAAAACAAGATTCCCCTTTTTTTTCCCAGAGGAAAAGCACTTAATCTGTGCATGTAGAAAGCTACATCAAGGGATTCCACCCTACCCTGCCCAAATCCTGCAGGTCTGAGAGACCCGCAAGGGAATTGTGGATACTGGGAGTGGTGCAGTGTGTGCCTCTGCTGCTGGAATGGGTTCCCTCAGGAACAAGAGGGTATTATGCCTCCTTAAAACACAAACCCCAAAAAATTCTGTATGGACTGAGGCACAGGGGCTGCTCTAATCAATGATCTGCTTGTGGCACAGTCTCCCTGCTCTCCCTCTGACCTGTTAGCTCCTAAGTGCTCTGGCAATGAAATGCTTCTTACCCATGTAGGTAAAATAGTAACTTCATGTTTCGTCTCCCAGCCTTGGGCAGGGAAATGGGATTAATCTAAAAGCATCTCATGTTTTAGGTGATTCTGTTTCGCATCTGTGGTTCTCTACTGCTGAAGGCAGAGCCCAGAGGTGAGCACACAGCACTGGTGGAGCTGGCCAGGCAGAATTACCTGGGATCAAAATGCTGCCAGTCGAACACACATGCACGCTGCTGTTCCTTGCCACCACTGTCCTCTGCTGCCACCGGTTCCTTAGAGAAAAGATTGCAAACTATTAAAATCTTTGTGTGCTGGTGTTTTGAGTGTGGCTGAACACGTGTGACCCACGGGAGGGAGAGCTGGGCTGGATGGGTTTGAGCCCTTGGAGCCTTGTGTGCTTTCCCAGCAAGAAGATTCGGTGCTGGCCCTCATGGAGCAGTGGCAGCCCTAAGGGGGTGGATGAAAACCACATCCCTCTACCCCAGCCAGCCCTTTCCTCCTCCTGACATGCAGTCAGGGCCTGTTCTGGTACAGTAAAACCCCAGCTCAGCGGTTGGGGTTTGTGTTTACTTTGTTTCAGGCCACTGTCAGTGTATTCACGTCAAGGGTTCTATCTCAAAAACGCAGCCCAGCACCGCTTCTTGAAAGGTTTGATGCTCAGAGCAGCGTTTTCAGCTGTTCCCTTGGTGAGCAGAGAGGGACTGGGGAAGTGGTGCAGAGCTGTCACTGACCCAGACCACTTGGGTTTTCCCTGTCTCTCCACCTACATCTGTGGAAGGAGCTACATCCGTCTCTACAGTGCAAAAGGCTCTGGTCATATTTTACTTCACACTCCGCGTTAACTGAAGAATAACGGCTCCTGTGCTGAGTCGTCTTGAAATTCAACAAAAAAAAAAAAAAAAATTCAGGTGCCTACTGAAAATAAGACCATCTGGCGATTTTCCGTGAAAATTGTGCTTTCCCATGTCTGCCGACCCGAGAGGTTCCCCTCTCAGTCCCCCTTTCCTTCCGGGAGGCGTGCGGTCCGGGCAGGGCGGGCAGGGCCGTGCCTCCCCCGTCCGTCCCGCCGAGCCAGACCGCTCCACCGCTGCTCCCCGGCCCGTTATTTATCTCCGCTCCCACCGCCGCTCCCCGGCCCGTTATTTCCGCTCCCACCGCTGCTCCCCGGCCCGTTATTTATTTATTTCCGCCGGGCCCGGAGCGGAGCGATAACGGAGCGGCCGCGCCGGGGGAGCCGCGGCCGCCGCGCTCATCGCGTCGCGACAGCCGCCGGGACAGCCTCCGGTGCCGGGCCCGGGCATGGACCAGTCGGTGGCCATCCAGGAGAGCCTGGCGGCGGGGGCGACCTGCCGGATCGTATCCTTTGATGGGCCCCGGGGTCGCGGTGCCGCCGCGCTCCCAGCTCCGCGCTGGCCCCGCCGCTCCCTCCGGTCTGTCCACGTCCCCTCCCTCCCGTTTGCTGCCGCTGCTCCCTCCCTCTGTCCCCGTCCCTCCCCGGTTTGCTGCCGCTGCTCCCTCCGGTCTGTCCCCGTCCCTTCCCGGTTTGCTGCCGCTGCTGCCTCCCGGTGTCCCCGTCCCTCCCCGGTTTGCTGCCGCTCCTCCCTCTCGCCGTCCCCGCCGCGCTCCCCCCGCTCCGTCCCCGCTCCCTCCCGCCGATCCCCCGCACCGATCCCCGCTCCCGCCGCCGTGCACGGCTCCTTGACCGCGGCCGCAGGCGGTGCAGGGCCTCCTGCCCGCGGGGCACAGCGTGGAGAGCCGGCTGCTGGGCCTGGTGGAGCGCCGCGGGCAGCACGCGTGGGTACCGGAGCGCGGGGCGGGCAGGGAGAGCGTCCGAGAGAGCTCAGCGGGTCTCTCAGGAGCCTGAGAACCCCCTCCCATGCCAAGGGCTTCCCACCAGGATGCTTTAGCTCCTTAGCAGTTTGGAGGCATGGTGCCTTGATGTCATTGTGGGTGGTCAGTGAGAAGCCCCAGGCCCATGAGCTGCTCTGCTCTGCCGCCTATATGAACACATTATTTAAGTGATGGGTGAGCAGGTGGGTGGGCATTTGGTTGAGGAGTTACTTTGGGATTTGCATGAGGTTGTGCTGGCAGGTGCTGGCAGGTGCTGCTGGGTGGGATGGGGTCCGTGCTGGTCTGTGTGCAGATGTGCCAGAACTGAGGAGGCTTTGCCTCCGTGTCTGCTCTGTGCTTGCAGGATCTATGTGTACACTCACCGGCGGATGGCCATCACAGCTGAGGACGTCTGGCTGGAGAGAATAATCCCCATCACAGATGGGTTTGCAGTGGAAGAAGGTACTGACACACTGTGGTGGCTCAGTGGCCAGTTCCAAAGAATGGGATGAAGGGGTTCGGTGCCCATATTCTGCTGTCCTGCTTCCTGAAGTTTGCAATCTATTCTGCCTTCATGTTTTTTAACAGTTTGTTATCTTTGGTGAAACTTGTGCACCACGTGGCATTTCTGGCAGGGCCCTGTGAGGACCAGAGTACCCATGTCCCACCTGGCCCCAGCCACAGCCCCTGCCCAGCAGGTTTGTTCTGCCTGCCTCTGTTCCTGCAGGGAGCACTTGGAGTTTGGAGAAGGATCAGCGTGGTCTGCAAATCTGTTGCTTTAGCTTTCAACTGAACTTTGTCTTACTTTTGCAGTTGTACTCGACAGTGACCTTCACGTCATTGGTGAGTCCTGTGGTTGCTTTAGTGCCTGCATTACGGGTGCTCTGGGCCAGCTGCATGCAGTGGGGCAGGACTGGGGGGTTCATGGCCCCACGGGAGTTGGCTGCGGAGGAGTTGTGTCCTGTGCCTCTTGGGGCAGTTGCCATGCTGTTGGCCATTGTCAGCCCCATTCAACCGAGGGAACTAATTTTCCATACGCTTTTAAACTGCTGCTGGAAGATTAATTATTGTCCCTGAACAAGCAGAATAAAAATTTTTATAAATGATTTTTATATTTTACATGGCATTCTCATGTAAAACTTTGGAAAGGAACGTGGTTAGGAGGCATGGGGAGATGTTGCCAAAGGCTGCGTGCCTGTGCACAGGCGTCGTTGTAGAGCGGAGACACGCTCAGTTTGTGAAGGTTTGTCAGCAGGACCCGCAGGAGCTCTCTCTCCCGGTGTCGCAGGCTCGGACGTGACAGTCCGGATCACCTCGGCAGACGGCGGGCTGACGGTGCAGCTGCCCTTCGGCTCGCAGACGCGCACGTTCCTGCAGGAGCTCAGCAGGTGCAGCGCAGGTGGGATCTCCCTCGGGCCGCCGGCTCCGGCGGTGCCGCCGCCGCTCCGCCCGTGGCTCCCGCGTGGGGACGAGCGGCGCTGGCCTGTCCCCGCTGGCCTGTCCCCGCTGAACCGGCCCGGCAGCGATCCCCGCCCGGTGCTCGGGGCCAGCGGCGGCTCCGCCGGCCCGGCCCGAGCGGGGGCGGTGCTGCGGCTGCCGGGGGCGGATCGGGGCGGGCCGGGGCGGATCGGGGCGGGCGCTGGGGCCGGGCCGGGGCCGGGCCGGGGCGGATCAGGGCACCGAGCTGCGGCGATGTCCGCGGGCGGGCGGCCCCGCCGAGGTGAGCGCGGGGACCCGCCGGGGTGGATGGGGGTCGCGCTGCCCGGGGAGGCGAGGCCGGGGCAGGGCTGAGCCGGAGCTCGGCCGGGCCCGGGAGGCGGTCCGGGGCGCTCCTTGGCGGAGCTGCCGCCGGTTCTGCCGCCGGTTCTGCCGCCCGGTGCCCGCCCCGCTCTTCCGGCGCCTCCTCCGCTGCTCCGCCGCTCCCGGGGCTCGGCGGCGCTTCCCGCTTCGCAGAGCGCTCGTCTGAGGAGATTCCGAGCTGAAGCAGTTCCTGGAAGTCAGTGTGCGGTTCAAAACCTGAATGTGGGCGTTTTGCTGTCCCTGGGCTGCTCCCCTTGATTTAATTCTCCCCTTTGGACGCTAAGCATGAATCCTGTTTTATCCAGGAGATATTATACATTTCCCTGCTGTTCTGTAATGTCACTGCACATTTTTTACATTAATGCCTTTATTACTGCTTGGATCTCATCTAACTGCAAATCCTGTGCAATTGAGAGCTCCTGTGATCTCTGCATGCTGCTCTGTATTTCTGTGCTCAGTTCAGTTATCGAACAAGGTCATTATTCCATTTCAGAGTGCTACCATATATATCCCTCTGGCTACAGAAATCTGTGGCTAGATATAAACATATCTAAGGAAACAGCCCTTTTCCAAAGCTAATCTCTTTCTTAGGAAAATCCTAGCTAAAGCTGATTTCTGCCCAGAGGTTAGAATGCAAGGTGTGATGTGTAATTCTGATCTTTGGATCAGGTAGCAGTTGTGACAGCAGCAGGCTCACACATCTTTCCATTCTGCAATCAAAATGGAAAGTGGAGAGTGGCACAGACCCATGTAGGTAATAAAGCCTGGGAATGTGCTCTTTTCTTGGCACAAAAGTAACCATTGTCCATTGAGGTGAAGGTTCAGGTTGGTTCCTGTCACTCACTCTCAAGGGATGTTGCGTGGTTGTTGGTGGGAAGCTTGCAGAGGTCCAAGGAGCAGTAACTGAGTTCTCAATGCCCACGGAGAAATTGCTGGGTCCCAAGTCCCTGGGCCCACACTTCCCGGTGTGCTCCTGGCCATTCTGCTTGACTGGAGCTGTGTGATCTGCAGTGAGGTTTCTGTCATGTGCTCTTCTGCATCCAGGCTCTGATAAATCCTCTTACACAGTCTATTCTCAGAAGGCTCTTGGGCAGGGGAGGTTATCCAGGCTGAGAATTCGGCCACTTCTTGTCATCTGGTTTGTATCCCGAGGGCCTGGGTGAAGTACTGCAAGTTCTATTTCTGTTTTGTGCTCGTGTTCTGCAGAATGTTCTGTGACAGCAGTAACATCTTCATTTTTTTTTCTGGGTTGTGTTCACTGGAGGAGAAGCTCAGCTGAATGCCTAGAATCCAACAGTCTTAACAATTTCTGCATCATCATTAGATTTGTGTGCTAAGGAGCATGATTATAAGATTGCTGGTTTTGCATCTTAAGCACAGAGACCTCCCCCAGAATCCTCTTTTTAACTGTAATTTTGCAACTTGTAGGAGCTGAATATTGTAACTGAAACAAAATGCTGAAAGACTGGTCAAATTTTGCTAAGGTAGTGTGGTGTGTTTAGTGTCACTGCTGTGGTTAGTTTGACTGGTGTGCTAGCAGCCCTGTTACTGTTTTAGGAAGGAGCAGTTTGCACTGGGGCAGATGTTTCTGCTGAGGTTCAGTGGGTCCCTGGTGTGATTCTTTGTGGCCCTCGAGGTGTCCTGACACCTGTGCCTTGCTGGGTATTTGCAGATAGGTAGAAACTC